TTCATGGTGAAATTTTACCCATCCACAGAAGATCCAGAAAAACCACAAAACCCTATCCACAAATGCTTACTTGCGCATCCATGTTTCCTTAACACACAAACCAAAAACACAACCTGAACTACATCAAATTTTGTCGATTTCAACCTCGACGTTAACAGTATCCCTTCCCATCTTGAAGATTTGGACAATCAAGCTTAAGCTTTTGTAAAACCCAAGTCCAGTTCTTTTGGTTTTTACAGAAGCTTAAGCTTGATTGTCCAAATCTTCAAGATGGGCAGGGATATTGTTAACGTCGAGGTTGAAATCGACCAAAATTGATGTGGTTCAGGTTGGTTATTTGAATTGAAAGCTGGTTTGGGTTGTAAAATTCAGAGTACGCAAGTTTGGGTATGAAAATGCCTTCGGGGAATAGTTTGGGTTGATTTTCCCCGTTTTCCCGTAGTTTGGATCTAGTGGTTCACAATACCCAATAAGAACATGGTGAAACTTGCAAACATAACAACTCAAACAGGGGCATAAACGTCCATTCACAATTCAGCAACTTACAAAACAAAGAGCAAAAGTACACCATAACCCAAAAGTGGGTGTACTTGTTAACTTTTGCAACTGAAGTATGTCTACATGTTATTCACCCTTAATTATATGAACGTAGTCTGTATCTAAACAATATTTTCATATTAAAACATTACATAACTATTACAATATATACTTATGCTACATACTATTAATTTCTAAATTAATAATTACATTGAAATTATGCAAACTTCATATTTCTCTAACAAACTCAAACCAAAATTATAAACTACAACTAATAAAAATTTATTAAATTAATTATTTTGCGGTATATCATTCAATCATACTAGATATAATAATTTTAAACTAATTTAAAAACTAAAAATATCATAAACATTAATCTTATTAAAATAATAAAATATCACCAGATGGGGTTATATGGTGGGACAAGTTCGAACAGACATTCATATAAATTTAAAATATATTAATCCGTTGCTACAACACGGGTAAATATATATTAAATTTTAGGAAAACTGAATTTTTTTTCTAAGAGACTTAATCTATTTATAATACAAAATCATAAAGATTATATATATATATAAGTAAATAAAAAAATGGTCTCGTGGTGTACCACGGGGTAAATTTTAACCCCATACGTATATACAAACTATAACGGTTAAGATTTTATATAAAAGATACGCATAAAATACTAGCCACGTGCTGTACCACGGGGTAAAATCTAGTAAGTATTGATAAATTAACATTTTAAAACTACTAACCTGATCAGCCGAGTAAAATGATGATTGATCAACATATGTATCTGATAAGAAAATTTCAGGGACATGTGATATTTTCCCATCAGAAACTTGTGCAACCCTATAAATGTCATATTTACCATGAATATGTTTGGGCTCGATTCAAAGGAGGAAAACAAATGATTTCCCAACTACAGCTTTGATCGGATCTGGCAAATTTGTGGGATCTTCAAACTATATAATCGTTGAGTTAGTAATGTATTATACGAAAAAGTTAACACAATATGATATTATTAAATAATATACCAGATCAAATGATCCTTTAAGGTATGATTTCAGTTGCAGCCGTCCCAACGATTTCTTCAGCAAAACTGTCAAACATCATAATTCTTGTCTCACCAGTATGGTCCATGACATTAAGGTGAATCCAAAACCTAAAAATATGATAATGATAAAACATATAAATACTATATAAAAAATAAACTTTCATCAGAATATAATAACATTTTGGTAACAAAACTTACTTTGGAAAGACGCATTTAGCGTAATCTTTACAGACCTCACATCAGAATCTTGATATAGGTTTTGTTTTAACATCTTCCAGCTTAATGACGTCCTCCTTGATGGTTTTTTTGTTGCATTTTTTACATGCATAATAGAACCAAGAATAGTCGGTAGCATTTTCTTTAACCGTACAAAGAGTACGACACGATCCTACCTAAAATAGTGTAAATATATATATATATGATTAGAATGTATAGTAAGATACAACATATAATGAATTGTTACACGTAAATATGAATAAACCTCAGTTGCTTGAAGCAGTTCCTCAATAGTCATGATAGGATACTCATCCATGTCTTCTCTTTTACTACGCCCAAAGAAAACACTTGTCTGTAAATTACCCACGACCGTCAATTGCGAACCATCACTGGTAAGGCTGTTTACATAACATTTAAAATAAAATGATATTACTTGTAACATTTATAGAGTAGAGAATTACTAATATTAATATTTTACGAAAACATACATTTTCTTAATGTCTTCAAACATCGGTATGGCCATATTAGTAAGCAATTGTGATGAGTCATAAGAATTAGAAACACTCCAAACATCTGAATTAGTGAATAAATATATATAACTGTAATTGCAAAAGTCTTTTAGTCTGTATACATATTTATATTTTGATGTAAAAGATTATGTCACGTAAATTGTTATATTACCGTTGAAAAAACATGACTTTGGCAAACCGTATCAAACAAAATACAATACCATCCGTCATTTCTTGCAATGCTTGACTTAGTGATTCAGCAAATTTTTCCCACAGTGTACATAACACTCGAGTACCCCTAGTGTAACGAATGATTAATAATTGAAAAGAATAGAAATATGTCCTACCAAGTATTTTCTTGAATTGGAAATTTATACTTGAAAATTAGTAAGCTTACTCGTTGTTTCTCAAGTGAAAGTCGATCTTCTTGGTAGGCTTAGTAGAAGTAGGGATATCTTGAATCTCACCACAATCATCGACTTGGCCCATAAAGTCTGCAATTTGAAAATTGAGAAAATTTAGTTATAGATGAAGCTAAACATTTAATTTAGTTTAAAACTAATAAAAACATAACTAACCAAATAAATAACGTCATCATAACTGGCCAATTGAAGAAACATATTTTCGGAAATATTTTCAGAAGCGGTGACAATTGTTTTCGACATGAAACCAATCTTAAACTTTATGTCCGATATTTTCAATGCACCATAAACAGGAGTTAAACCAAAAATAGAAATAAGAATCCAAAAATTTGGTATTAAAAAGTTTTCAAACTTTTTGATATGCTCCTTTTTGAAGTTAGCAGCAATCTTATGACCCTAAGAAAAATTAAAAGAAAATAAACTTTAGTATCAAACTTAGCAAATTAAATAATTATTTCAAACATTTTATTATAACTGTAATTTACAGAAATGTCGACCAAAAATATCTCATTGTTTCACAAATTTAAAATAAGAAATAAAATATACTTGCTTACAAAGTTTGTTATTGTTTTGGATAAAAATTCAATATCGTATATTATGCTCATCAATTATAGGGTAGTTATGTTATCATTTCCTTAATTTAAGATATTAGTATTCAATTTCAATTATCATTAATTTTCAATAATTTCAATTATCATAAATTTTAGAATTTTTAAGTAAATATTCAAAACGGAATATTATGGTGGAAATATTGATTGCAACTATATTGAGAATATACCATTTTCCGATTATAAGTATCCAAACTAATAATGCGATGTAGGCCCATATTTTTATAAAAAAAATAATCAGGGAAAATGAATCCATCAGAGCACAGGTATATATATATAGGGTCATGTTTGTGTTGTGTTTATTAAGTCTTCCCTAACGTAAATTTTAACTAAGGCCCAAACAATTGTATGGTTTGTTATTAATTTAAACGGTGAGGATTAGAAGCTTCAAACGAACGGCTGAGATTTTTAAAAAAATATACGGCGAGACAATCATACGGTGAGGATTAGAAGCTTCCACTTATAAAATAATGGCTAAGATTAGAACATAAAATTTCCGGGTTTCATTAGCGGGTCAAAAGCTCCGCGCGTTTATTCGTTTTCTGAGTTGTTTGGCAACAGTTTTACGATTTATATACTATAGTTTTGATTAGAAAAAATTTAAATGTTTTTGTTTGGCAGCAGGGACAAATCATTTTTTAATAGTATTGATATCGAAAATATTAATAATATTTAATATTAATATCATTTAGTCATCCAAGATTGTAATTTTAATTTTGAATATTTATCAATTAGATTTACACTAAAATATCCAAAATATCTAAAATTTATTTGTTACATATGTCAACATTTAGCTAAATTAGTTAAGTTCATCTAACTTTTAAGGCGTTTTTCGGATACCCGGTAATTTGGTTAATAATCGGGTTCTAAATTTTTTAACTTAAACCGACCTGAACATGAAAGTACCCAAACCGAAATCAAACCAAAAATCTAAAACTACTCAATAAATTTTATTTTTCTAAACCCACGTGACCTGAACCTAAACGGATCATATCTGAATCCGACCCAAAAACCCGAATGCCCAGTTCTACAAACAAACCACACAATACAACCGTTGTGGCTCCTAAGCCCACTGGGATGAAAACTAAAATAACCGACTTGTTTTACAAACCCAGATCTCCACTTCTTTTTCCGGTTTAGTATTTTTTATAAGCTTCGGAGCTTATCAAGATGGAAAAGTAACAGAAATGTGGAGGGAGAGAAGTATTGCGCCTTTAATGGCGGAGAAGAAGATAGATAGAGAGAGTTTAGAAGTTGTTTTGTTGTTGATCGTATTCGATGAAACGTTTACAGGGAGAAGAAGGAGACTAAATACAAGCAACCTAATGTGAAAAGGCTAGAAAACGAGAGAGGCCCATAAAGCCCAATATTCTGATCGTATCAATACTCCCGCCATGAAGAACCACCGTGTCCTCAAGGTGATAAAAAAGAACAGGACATTGGCCCTGTTCTTTTCTTAGTCGTGCGACTAGAGCAGCGACTGATTTCCAAAATCTGAGTTTTGAATTTTTTTTTTTTTTTACATTTTGTAATTATAAGCATCTCTAAGGGTATATTCGTAAATTAATTAAAACATCTAGTTAGAGAAGAAGATAAATTGTAGAGATCTGTAAGCTTCAACAATGGCAATTGAATCTCTGCGACTATCTCCTCTTTAAAATAAGAGTTGGGTTGTATCGCTGTTTTCTCCGGCGATTCTAAAATGTAATTTTTTTTTGTCGTGCGACAGAATTTAGAAAAGATGAAGAAGAAATAAAGGAGATTTGAGAATCAGTTCAGTTAAATAAAATCAGCCGCTATGAGAATCGCACGATTCTGAAAAGAACAGGGCCACTATCTGCTACGAAAAACTCTGGTGGCCTAGGAGAATGAAACAATTCATAAGCGAGTGTTGAAGTCATATGATTCTTTGAATACTCCTTGATGTTGAGAATCCTAGCTTTCATGAGAGCTTCTCCAATCTTAATGATAAGGACTAGACAACGTTTCACCAACTGCTTCGGATCTGACGCTCTTCGGTTTGCGCTTGTCTCTTACACTGCTCAGGTACTATTTATCGCACTAATCCCTAACAACCTCCTTAATTGTATGTTTTATAAACTAATAATTGGTCTACTCTTCATTCTTACTAGTGTGATAAAATTAACTTGGACATCCTCCGAGTTGTTGGTTACCGTCAATGGTGTAATAAACTATGGAACGCTGTCAGATTTGCAATAATGAAGCTTGGTTATAATTATTCCCCTCCGCAGATTCTAATCCTTGAAACAATGCCGTTCAGCTGCAAATGGATTCTCTCTGTTTTAAATAAGGCAATATCAAAGACAGTGGAGTCACTGGAGGCATTTGAGTTCTCGGATGCAGCCAACACAGTATATGCATGGTGGCAATACCAATTCTGTGATGTCTACATTGAAGCAATCAAGCCTTATTTTGCTAGTGACAACCCAACGTTTGCTTCAGAGAGGGCTCATGCACAACATGCTCTCTGGACAAGTCTGGAGACTGGGTTGAGACTGCTTCACCCACTTATGCCTTTTGTTACTGAAGAGCTATGGCAACGGCTTCCCTCACCAAAAGACACTGAAAGAAAGGCGTCTATCATGATGTGTGACTACCCAACCGCTATAGAGGTCAGTAAGATTCTCTTAGTAACTTGTCATTATTTTGTTGGGGTTTCTAACTCTTTCCTCCTGATGTCATGAACCCAGACTTGGACAAATGAGAAAGTGGAGAGCGAAATGGAAACCGTTCACGCGACTGTAAAATGCATGAGGGCACTGAGAGCAGGATTGCTGGAGAAACAGAAAAGTGAAAGGTCCGAGTAAATGATTAAATCCCCATTTTTAGACATTTCATAACCATCCTGCATTTTTTCGAATATACTGTCACTAAAATGGTTACTTTTTTTGGTTGTGTACAATTTTCTCAGGTTACCTGGTTTTGCTCTGTGTGAAAACAACTTAACATCTGAAATTGTAAAATCTCACGAGTTTGAGATCAGAACCCTTGCAAATCTATCATCCTTAGAGGTCAAATTCTATCTTCAGTTTCTTTCTTACAGTTTTTCTATTGTTTTGTGTATCTTATCTGAGTTTCTATGAGGCTATGGTACAGGTTTTTATTAAGGGAGAACACGCAGCCTCACCTGGATCTTCCGTTGAGACAGTAAACGAGAACCTCAAGGTGTATCTAAAAGTGGAAGGAGCCATTAACACAGAAGCCGAACAAGAAAAAATCAGAAACAAGCTTGGCGAGCTACATAAGTAATTCCCTAAATCCGTAATTGAATCACGTGTTAGTTTCCTGAGATTTCCTCATATAAAATGTTTATTTCTTGTTTCATCAGGCAAAAGGATAAGTTGCAGAAGATGATGAGGGTGTCTACCTATGAAGAGAAGGTCCCTGCAAATATAAGAGAAGACAACGCGACCAAGCTTGCTAAGATTCTACAAGAATTTGATTTCTTTGAGAAGGAAAGTGCCCGTCTTGCTGCATAAACAAGCAATCCACGAAATCAGGAAATGGAACAGAAAAAGTGAGAGAAAAAGTCACAGTTTCTGTCTGAGAAGGCCAAATGAAATATTTCAGGTTCGAGAAACCTGGTTCCTTCCACTTTTAAATACACCTTGAGGTTCATTACATCTCTATAAACAAGCTTCAAATATATAGTCAAAACTCAAAAACTAGTGGGGCTGCGTGTATTTAAAAGTGGGAGGAACCAGTGTTATGACTATTTTTCATTCCATGTCTATAAATAGAAACACCTTCGATTAGTTTTGAACAGATCATTTGCAAACACGATTTGTTTTGGTCAATGTGAACACTAAACAGCACTTGAAGTATTCTTCTTAGTTTATTGCACGGGACTTTGGGTTTAGGTAGCATGAAGTGTTAGTGTTGACTTGGTCAACCCATTCTAATTAGGCTCGAGGCAACTGAAGGGTGATACTTATTATATAAATAGCAAACCTTTCGGGTCATATGAATGATCAAGAGAATTTACAGCAAAAGCTAATGATTTACTCGAGTTGGTAGAACCAATAACTTTCCAGAACTACTGGTTCATCAAACCAGTTCCGTAAATTGACCCTTAAAACCACTAGATGACCAAACAGTAGATCAATGAGATTTTGCTCATCCCCATTATGTATCCATATATCCCCACATTCATCAGAAAATATCTAACTTTTTTTTTGCTTCCTGTTCTTCTTTTCATGAAACATTTGATCAGATTTCAGTACTTTGAATAAGTATAATTGGACCCCACGATTTACTTTGCTGCAGCCTTTTGATTTCCTCAAAAGTGTGATCATCAACATATACATTTGGTCTCAGTTTCATTCTTTGATAATGATGTTCATTCTGATAGTCTTCACATAGTTCTTAATGCCTAACTATACGTCACCAGAGAGGAGACCTGCACGGGGTTGTTGCTATGATTTTTTGGTAATTTTGATTGTATGTACATCTGTGTCGTATTTGTTTGGCTATATTTTGATTGTATGTTTCAATATTTCAAATATTATAATCTTATACTTTTAGTTATTCCTTTGAGTGGCGTTGTTGGTATATGCATTACTCGTATTTCGATTAATGTTTATGAGTTTGTTTGGACGCATGTATTAATATAGTTTTTTTTTTTGGGAAAATTCCATAAAAATTTCCCTTCTAATTTTAATTTGGAAGTTTAATACACCATGTTATTTGATTGGAAACAAAATGCATGGTTTATTAAATTTTGGTCTATTAATACATCAAGTATATAAAAATTGTCGAATCGAAGAAACCGCTTAACAAATGATAATCGAATTGACGGAATCACTGAACCGGGGTTAATGGAATTACACTAAATTTAGGGTTTATCGATCCCAATTCGATTTGGGGTAATAGCAAAAGACAATGCAGTCTTTGGATAACCCCAAATTACCTGTGTGTTTAGGGATTAGTGATTTTCTTAACCTCGGTTTAGTGATTCCGTCAATCCGATTAAGCGGTTTATTTGATTCGACAATTTTATATACTTAATGTATTAATAGACCAAAATTTAATAAATCATGCATGTTATTTCCAATCAAATAACATTGGGTATTAAACTTCCAAATTAAAATTAGATGGGGAATTTTTATGGAATTTTCCCGTTTTTTTTAGATAAAAAGTTTTAACTTAAAGGAAAGTGTGACCATAAACCATTTGTCACTCTATATTTTATTTTATTTTTCCTTTTTATTGTTATATTTTAAATTTGATTAGAAAATAATTTATTAAAGCTGGAGTGTACTCTGTTTGTTAGGTTCGTTTTTATCTATTTAAATTTTGGTCTACATTGTGTCAAAAATATTAGCCTTTTAGTATGAGGAGCTTATATATTCACTTTTTATATATTTTTTTAGAACTCATGAGATTAATATGACCATTTGGTTATTTATGTTTATAAAAGACTAGTTATGGGCCCGCGTTTAAAATTTATGTTTTCACGTATGAACTAAAAATATTGCATGTATTAAAATTTGGAAAACCAAAACAACAACAAACAAAAAATCAATATTAATTGAATATCATATTTTCAAATATAGATTAGGGCCTATCTAATAGACGGGTCATTTATTTTCAAAATAAAATTAAAACTAAAAATTTATTGTAAGAATGTTATATCCAAAGTACTAAAAAAAGATAACTTTTTAAGTTAGTAAATTGTTTTTTATTTGAACAAAATTATTTATTTATGTATCATACATATTTTAAAACTTTATTAAAACCATATTATAATAATTATCTACCACCAAAACAAATTGTGAGCTATTCACCATTTTTCATTATATTACTATTAGCAAATTTTCAAAAAAGAATAATTTACATATTATACCCTAAACATGATTATATCATTATCGTCAAAATGTTATTTCCTAATTTATAGTTTTAAAAAAAAATATTCTCGCAGATTTTTTTACTTTGAAATTTAATGTATTTCTTAAACTTATTTAATTGTTACAAAATTTTATGGTAAATTTCTTACAAATTAACATCAATCCAAAAAATGAGTTATAGTGTCGTTGAAAAAAACATTTAATTTTTTTTTTCAAAAAAATGAAAGTATACAAAATTACATGTTATCCTTATTTTTAAGTTATACTACGAATAAAAATCATTATACTACGAATTATATTGACTTTTGTTATCCTTATTTTTAAGTTAATAATGTCTCTTTTGAGTTCCCTTTTATTCACCCCTCTTGTTTAGCCAATGAGAATGCACTATGTCATATTTCATCTAAATATAAATAAAAATTAAACAATTATAACATATTAAAGAAGTAAAAACATTTAATAAAGAGAAATTTGTGAATTCTGCCATGTACAGTGACAAAACTTCTTAGAACTGCCATTAAAAGAAATCCATTCTCCCACCTGCCATAAAGGCTTTGTAAAAAGACCAACTTACCCCATTATCTCTCTTCTTCTTCATCTACATTTCTTTTTCTTATTCCAACAAAAGTTTTTAAATGTATTACAAGTTCTTTAAAATGGTTTTTAATGATTTTCAACGGTTTTTAAAGGGTTCTAGAAGATTATAAAAGTTTTTATTAAATGATTTATCACGGTTTTTTTTTTTTTTTTGTCGGCAAAGAAACAAGAGAGGGTTCAATCGAGCCAACTCAAAGGACAATTGTTTACAAACTTGATAAGATGCAGACTAGCACGCGCTCGGCGAGCCAAAAAGTCCGCTTTTACATTTAGATTTCTAGAAATAAGAGATAGAGAAAAAGATGAAAATTCCTCCCTGTCTATATTGATATCTTCTAGGTAGATAGAGAACGCCAGCCACTCGTGTGGAGAAGACACCATCTTCACCAAATCCGAACAGTCAGTTACAAACACAACGTCCCTGAAATTATGGCCTATCATTTATCACGGTTATAAGGAGTTTAAAGGGATTTACAAGTGTTTGTAAATGTTATAAAATGATTAACAATGATTTTAAAAGGTTTACTCAAGTTTTGAAAGGTTTTGGATGACTTTTAAAAGATTTACAAGGTTTTTTAAAGGATTTGAAAATATTTACAAGGTTTTTAAAAGATATTCTTATAACCGTGATAAATGATAGGAAACCGTTGGTGGGAAATATTTCCGAAGGAATATTCTTTTTGTTGGAAGGAATATTCTTTTTGTTGGAAGGAATATTTTTTGTTGGAAGGAATATTCTTTTTGTTGGAAGGAATATTCTTTTTGTTGGAAAGAATATTTCTTTCATCATCATGGGTTATAATAAAAAGGGTAATTTAGACCTTTTTTACATTGAAGAGGGTATTTTGAAAACGGACACCTAGAGAGGGTACTTGTAGAAAAGAATATCATAAAAATGTTAGTTGTACAAATCCCCCAATTCTTTATGATAGGTTTATAAATTTAATTTGAAATATTTTCATATTTCTTAAATTTATGGGAGAATTTCAAAAATACCCCTTTTCATATATATTTTTTTTAAAATACCCCTTTTTCAAACTTTATCAAAAAACCCACTAAAAATGTTGAAATTTATCCAAATATGTGTGTAAGCTTATAAATATATACACAAATTATCTTTATATGTGTATAAAACTTTATATACCTTTCATAAATAGCGTAAAAATAAATTATAAAAACCTTATAAAAACCTTATAAAACCGTATAAACCCTTTTAAAAACCTTTTAAAAACCTTATAAAACTTATAAAAACGATTTAAAACTATTTAAAACATTTTAAAATATTTGTATCGAATCTCCCAGTAGTATTATTATATAGAAGTACCTTATAAACTATATAAAACTTTATAATTTTTTATATTTAAAAAGGGGTATTTTTGAAAATGGATAGATAAAGGGGGTATTTTTAAAAAGGGGTACACCAAAAGAGGTATTTCTCAAAAATTCTCTAAATTTATATAGGTCAATATCTTATCAATACAATTGACACATGTCACATTAATGACTAACTTATTTAGATAAAAATTTTCAATAAAAATATTTATTTATTACATAATATTCACGATAATGTAAATATTTTCTAAATTTAACTTATAATTGACTAACATTATAATTTTTATTAATATTGTAATTTTATAATTATATAATTTCTTACCACTTATTATATGACACGTATCAACGTCTTATCAATTCAATTAACACGTGTCACGATCTTATTAATGGCTAACTTTGAAAACCCAACTTTATATAATAAGATGGAACATGATGTTCTAAATTTTTCAAGCTTTTTGCACCAGGAAAAGTGGAAAATAGCAAAAATCAACCCAGACTATTAGCTGCGATATTTTTATACCCAAACTACGATACCCAGTAAATAGCAACATAAACTCACAAAAAAAAATCAAATTCCCAACCTAAACTCTATGAAATAAGCAAAAATCAACATATACTTAGTTAACTATTTTACGGTGATGAGTTCGCCGACACCGTGGCAGTGAGGGAATATGTATTTACTTTTTATACTAGGTAGTAACTAGTGCCACGACACGGACGATTCGGTGAAGTTAATTTATGTGTTTATGGATTGTATTTTGAATATTTTGTATGTTTGGGATTTACTACAAATACCTCGGTCCAACTTACATTAAATATGTCATTCAGACGGTAAACCGTCGGTCCGTTGGACACAAACTCTCTAGCAAAGATGTAGCACAGATGGTATGGACATGGTTAAAAGTTCATCTAACCTTTTCAAATATATAAAGAAACTTTATAACAGTTAAAATTTAAAATTTACAATAGGGTTTTATAAAAACTAAACAAAAACTTAGTTACATAGATTAGACATAAATACATTATATACAATACATACAAAAATGAAATTGCTGAATAGTGT